GAAAGAAAGAAAGAAAGAAAGAAAGAAAGAAAGAAAGAAGAAGGAAAGAAGGAAAGAAGGAAAGAAGGAAAGAAGGAAAGAAAGAAGGAAAGAAAAGAAAAGAAAAGAAAGAGAAAGAAAGAAAGAAAAGAGGAAGGAAGGAAGGAAGGTTGTTCAGAGATTTATTACCTCTACCCAAAGAGACTGGAGAATCACAGTCTTCCTAGGGAACAATTATAAAAAAACAAAATGTGTTAAGGTCTATAATGTGATCTTTATTTCCCACTCACTTGCCCTTGGCTTCCTATGTTAAAATGAGGGCCACTAGTTTAGCAGGCTGCAATTCTGAAACCACAAAATAATCCCTGAGAATAGCTGATTGAATTTCTTTTTCAGCAACTCAGAAAGATGAAATTGAAAACTAAGAAAATAGAGATTTTTCTCCCTTCCTATTACTGGGACCAAAGAATGTATCAACAACAAATTCTGTTAAGGACAACTTGCAGCGGGGGAGGGAAATGAGTTTCTGGCTTGCTCAGGTCCTCAAAAAATGTCCAGAATACAAGATGAGTTAATCCCATATACATTCTCGTTATACAGAATGCAAAGAAACATACCAAGGGAATATGGTGGTATCATAAAAGTTTGTTTTATCAATAGCAATAAAGCAAAAAATAAACTGTTTCCTAATCCAATATATTTACTTATGTGCCTATTTCAGATGCTACATATGAGTAAATTAGGATGTATGATACAAGTATCCTATATAAGTTAACTATTTAAAAATCACAGCCTGATACAGGTTTAACATTTGAAGTTTTGAAATTAAATAATCTATTTTCTATACAGCTAAACAAATGATCCACATATATTTTTTCCTAAGCCACTAATACTTTGTCTAATTGGTGACTCCTTTGAAATATACAGCAATTATTTTATTTAACTGTAAATATTCAATTTTATTCATTATAAGTATCTTAGTGATAACTTATGTACTAGGCATTGAGTTAGGTGTTTGTCTCCTTTTATAATCTCAGAAAGACAGTCCGAGACCAGTATACGTATATACTATAGTATACATAATACCACAGTATAGTGCTATGCACTAAAGGATAACTAAAAGCCTGTTTAATCAGCTACTTATTCTATTATCTAGGAGTAGGGCAACACAGCTGGGGCAATGAGAGTTGGCTTTCGATTCTGATATTTGACTTAGTTTCCTGTCTTGGGCTAGGTATAATTGATATACTCTGGTCTCCAGGTCTTATTCCAATATTCAGCCAAAGCATCTGTCATACAACTTGAATGAACTGATTAGACCAGATGCATAAGAAGATGAAGAGCCAGATAAATCAAGAGAGGGAGACCTCTCAGTGCTACTTGTTTCTTAACTTGTACTTATACCCTGATGCTTAAATGGCATTTCATAATTCAATGATGAGATATTCGTTTAGGTATCGATTATAGCATTTATTATTTTTTAACTACTTACAAAGAGACTGGAAATCTAATAATACTCAAAATAGGGAGACAAAAAGGATCACGGAAAGGAAGAGTTGAGGAAAGAAGACTTAAAATTGACTGAGTGGTTGGCTTTAAATTTCTGCTCTGATAAATGACAGCTGTGGGATCTTGGGCAAGTTACTTAACCTCATTTTTACCTCAAAATTTATTCTGATCAGTAAATGGAGTCATAATACATACTAAACACGAACATGAGGTTTAAATTAGATTGAGCATGTAAAATGTTTTTAACATAGTACTTGAACCACAGTAACCATTCACTATTACCTCAAAGTAGTAGTTGTAATAATTCTCATAACCACCAAAACAATGTAACATTAGCTTCTACAAACAAAGGGAGAAACTAAGGCACTCAATAAATGACTCTCCTGTGGTCACAGTATTACATTATAAATTTGTGTCACAAATTAGTTAATCTGGCTCAAAAAGTCTACAGTGTTTCTGTTATTCCTAATATATTCCTGTAAGACTGTTGTAGTTCATTTTTCTTTCTTAAGTAGTCAAGATTAAGTTTTCAGTATTCCTAGGTAGCCTCTCATTTTTATGAAACCTTCCTTGGGTCAAACAATTGAGATATGTTAGTCATTTGTTCCTCTGTATTCCTGTACCTTTTACATAGTTTTACAAATCCGCAATTCACATGAATTGCAAGCAACAGTGTCCACACTCTTTCTCCATCACTAAATAGTAAGCATCTCAAAGTGTGATATATAATCTTATTCATTTTCATATCCCTAGTGCATTGCATAATGCCTGGTACAGCAATAGTCTTCAATAAATATCTATAAACCTGAACTAAACGGATTTTGAATTCTGATATACTCAGAAGCTTTTCAAAAAGTTTAAGATGGTTAAAACAATAATGTTACTTTTTTTGTTGCTGTTTAAATAGACAAGGTCTCACTCTGTTACTCAGGCTGGAGTGCAGTGGCACAATCAGTTGAGCGTACTGCAGCCTCAACATCCTGGGCTAAAGGAATCCTGCCTCAGCTTCAGAGCAGCTAGGACTATAGATGTGTGCTACCACACCCAGCAAATTTTAAAATTTTTTGTAGATATGGAGTCTCGCTATGTTGCTTAGGCTGGTCTCAAACTCCCAGCCCCAAGTGATCCTCCTGCCTCAGCCTCCTAAAG